GAAACTCAAAGGCCAGCTAGCCTGGCATATGTGGCAGTGAACAGAGACCCTGTCTCAAACAAGGTGTCCTCTCACCTTCATATGTGTGCTATACACACATGTCTTGCTCTCTCAGTTTCTCTGTCACGTAGACACATGCACACAGACCAAGACAGAGAGCACCTTCCTCAAACCACACAGACAACAGCAGCAGCAACAACCACACAATTTTTCTTTTTTCTGTAAGAGATAATATAGAATTGGTGTTAATTCTTCATTTCAGTAGAATTAGAATTACCCAGTGAAGCTATGTGGGCCTGGATTTTTCTTTTGCAAGAGGCTTATAATTTTTATGTTGATACTACTATGGTTAGAAAATACATTCTATGTCATTTCAATCATTTTCAATTGGTTGAGATTAGTTTTATGGCTCAGCATATGGTCCTATCTTGGTATATGTTCCTTTAGTACTTAAAAAATATACATTCTGTTGTTGGGGTAGCCTATAAATGTCAGTTAAAGCCTATTCATTGGTAGCACTGTTGAGCTCTTCTATATTCTAGCTCTTTTCTGTCTACTGAACTGGCTGATGAGAAAGGGATGCCGAAGTCTCTAACTCGAATCATATACTTTTTTCCCCTTTGCTGAAATGAGAGTTGAACCAAGACCTTACACATGCTAGGCTAGCACACTGCTGCTGGGCTATCTTCCCAGCCTTAGTGATGGATCTTCTGTTTCCCTGTACAACCATATCAGTTTTTCTTCATGTATTTCAAGACACTGATGTTTGAAGCATACACATTATGGATTGCTATATCTTGGTAGAATGATCCTTTTATGATACGTTACAAAATGTTAATGAAGAAAATAAAAATATAGCTGTATACGGTGGCTCACACCTGTAATCCCTGGTATGTGGGAGGCTGAGGCAGGGGAGTGAAGCTCAAGGCCTGCTTGGGCAACCTAGCAATATTCTGCCTCAAAATAAAAAAAAAAGTGAAAATGGCTGAAGATGTAGTTGGTGGTATAGTGGTTGCGCTAGCATGCATAAAACATGCATGAAGTTCAATCTTCAGCACTGCAAAATTAATGGAAAAGGAAGAAAATCCAAATCTAAAAGTTGAGACACACTATATTTATAGGTTGGAAGACTCAGCATAGTAAAGATGTCAGTTATATCCAAAAGAAGTATAGGCTTAACACAAGTCCTTTCTAAATCTTAGCAGAATTACTTTATAGAATCAGACAAAGTTATTCTAAAGTTCACTTGGAAAAGCAAAAGAACTGCTTTAGCTTCATTTTTGCTTACATTTATTTATCTAGTGTGCGGATGCATGTGTATATGTGTGTGTGTGGAGGTCAGGATTACTTGCAGGAGTCAGTCCTCCTTTTGAGTAGACATGTGGGTCACAGGGATTGAATTCAGGTCATCAGGCTCAGTGGCAAGAATCTTAAACAACTGAGACATCTGGCCAACCCTAACTAATTTCTTTTTTGAGACATGGTCTCACTATGTAGCAAATTCTAGCATTGTATCATCAATACTCCTGCCTCAGCTTCATGAGTGCTGGGATTGTAGGTGTTCATAGCAACATCTGGCCTTTATCTAAAATGATTTTGAAAAGAAGAAACTCTAAGGAATCATTCTACCTGATCCAAGGATTGATTATATAGCTATGGCACCCATGACCATGGAGGAACAGACTTATACAGCAGTGGAGCAAAGACAAAACCCAGAGACTGAAATAGCTGCTTTAGAGTGTATGGGCATTTTGGAAAAGGAAACATTTGGATTTTCTACTCTTTTGCAGGACAAAAGAGGATTTATATTTTGTCAGACAAAGAATACTCTGGTTTTCAAGATAAATGGAATCCTCTAGAATTCCTAGAGGTACTAGAGGAAATGGCACCTGAAACATACTCACCCCCTAGTCCATTTCTGAAATGGTCTGTAGGTGTGGTAGCCATCATTATTTTATATTTTATAATCTGGAATTGGAAAACAAGACCTCACACTAAGGATTAAAGTTTCTGTTGACTTTTTGGACAGGCTACATAACTGCTCCACTACTGAGCTGTCTCCCTAGATCTCACTGTCTTTTTCTCTAAACAAAATGCATGTTACTTTTTTTCTGACTGTGAAACAATATATATTCATGCTGGAAACTTTGAAAATACAGAAAAAGAATAGAGGAAAGAAAAATTACCCATAATTCTAATCCTTGATAACTACTGTTAAAGTACTTTGGCAAAGTATCATTCAAGATGAAGATGGCTGGATATTGTGGCACTTGCCTGTAACCCTAGCCACTGGGGAGGCTGAGGCAGGAGGATCATAAGTTTGAGACCAGCCTGGGATACACAGTGAAACACTGTCTCAAAAAAGTTATCACTGAAGATAACAATTGCTACCACGTCTTTTGAATGCTTTTCTCTACATAGCCACATACTCACACATTCATTATATATGTAAAACTCGATGTTAAACCAATTTGTTTTTACTTAACATATAATACTTGTCTCACCAAATTATTTCCAAAATTTTTCTTTGTATTTGGCTGCAACTCATTTTTCCACATAAAAATACTAGATGGAATTAACATTATGCCTCAATTCAGTATATCAAAACAGAATATGTTATGAACAGAATAAGGTATTTTAAAAGAATGGGTGTGTAAAACTAGGCTCCCTACACTGGCAGCTTCCAAGTCCTAGTTTATGTCTACCTAGGAAATTCCAGAGTCATCTGTGGTAATATTGTGTCCCCCAATATATTGGGTACCCTAATAAACTTATATGGGGTCAGAGAACAGAATAGCCACTAGATAGACATAGAGGCCAGAAAATGGTGGCACACACACCTTTAATCCTAGCATTCCAAAGGCAGAGATCCATCTGGATCTCTGTGAGTTGAAAGCCACACTGGAAACAGCAAGGCATGGTGATATATGCCTTTAATCCCAGGAAGTGAGCCTTTAATCCCAGGAAGTGATGGCAGGAAACAGAAAGGTATATAAGGTGTGAGGACCAGTAACTAGAGGACTGTTAATCAGCTGAGATCCATTCAGATGAGGACTTAGAGGATTCAGTCTGAGGAAACAAGATCAGCTGAGGAATTGGCAAGTAGAGGTTGGCTGTGGCTGGTTCTGTTTCTCTGATCATTCAGCATTCACCCCAATACCTGGCTCTGGGTTTGTTTTTATTAATAAGATCTTTTAAGATTCGTCTACAGACATCTTCCTTCTTCCCTTATCCATGATCCTCTCTTTATAAGTGACCTGCCTCCAAGGGCTGGTGACACTCTTTACATACCACTTCTCAGCTCTAGTCCAGGTTCATACAGGGCCACCTTTAGACTACATCATGATCCATCTCAAACATCACTATATCATGTTATATTCTCATTTTCTCTATGTGATCTAGACTATTCAACCTGAAATTCAGTCCAGTCAGCTCTGTCCTCATACTTCTGAGATTCCCTTGCAGACCATCAAAGCTGTACTCTGCTCTCTTCAAATCCTCCAGCCTTCAGAAAGTAATCTCCCTCAAGTTTTACTCTCAGCTGCTTCTATGCAGTGTCAGCCCCATGATATCCTCATCTATCCAAGGGGGTTCAGTTTTGTGTCTTCATCCAGATTTCTCAATTATTTGCTGGAAGCAGAGAGCATGTCTTCGGCCACTCCTAGAGCTCACGACACCAAAACACGTGGGTGGTTCAAAAACAACTTGATTGAGTTGAGCTTTAAAGTGAAGACAGAATTATACTTCTTAAAATTTAACTACTTCAGATGCATTTTGGGAGTCCATGAAGGGTAGGAAGAGATTATAAAGAGCAATGGGAAAAAGCAGGTGGGATATGATTAGTAGCCCTGTCACGGCACTGCTATCAAAGTGGAGACCAGTCTCCAGGCCTGGATTCAAGTCTGGAGATCACTGCTTCGTGCTATTGTGCCTGTGGTTACCTGCCTCCTACCCCATAAGGACACACATGAGATAGCGTACTCGAAGTACCCCGCACGATGAGTGTGTGGTACACTTGCAGTTAGTTCTCCCTTCATGGTTTTAGGTAGAAATTTCCAGTTTTCATGAGTAATCTGCCAATGGCCTTCATTTCATGGTATATTAAATTTAAGCTGCTAATTTATCATAACTTTGGAGATTAGCCTCCATTTTTTTTTTTTAGAATTTGAAAAATTTAGCACGACATTTTTCTAACTTATTTTGCAACAAACCCCACAATAAACCTTTCCATTTCTTACATTCTTTAGTGAAGTAAGGATAGGTGGCTGCTCAGTGGGAAAGTGCAAGCAGGTGGCCAGCTCCTGGAGAACAGTGGGGGGTGAGGAGGGATACAGAGAGGGCCGAAAACAGGAAGGGGAGATAAGATGTCACAGAGATCTTTACTCAAAGCTTTGCAAACTGGCTCGGGATTTCCACCACAATCCTGCTCCAAAGTCCAAGAAACTGGGAAGCAATGGTTAATCTGTCCTTGGGATCCACGCTGCCTCCTAACTGTCTTATGCTTCTCAGACAGCAAGAATGGGTGTGTGGGGAAGCCTCATTTCTACGGCATAGCCTCTCTTCGGTCAGAGCAAGAACTGCATTGAGTTTAGGGCTCTAGCAGTCCTTGAAGGCTGAGTCTCATTGGCAACCCATAGAAGGATGCTACCTCCAGACTTTAGGCTGAAATAGGGGGTGCCTCTTTCTCTATCCCCCCCACTCCCGCGCACAATAGTTCTCCCAAGAATATTAGCAGCAGATGTGCTGTGGGACTGTAAATAACAGACTAGAACGGGTGGCCATAGCACACCGGAGGTGGCAGGAACTGGGGAGGTAGCGCTAGCCTCGTCTATCCCCTGTCCTTCTCTACTTAGCTCAGAATGGAGTGCAAAGCTCCCGATTTCCGTTTGGTGGGGCTGATGGAGGCATGGTATGGGTGGAGGTCTGGGCAGCACTAAAAGGCATGGCTCAGGGGCCAGAACTGTAGGGGTTGCTCATGGACATTTTTCTCTTGTTTCCAGGGCGACACGAGATGTTGAGTGCTTTGGATCGGCCACATGGAAGGAGCAGGGTGAGCGAGCAGTGTGGGGTAAAAAGGGTTTGGGGGGGCATCGGATAAAGCACATAGGGGTGGTGAGTAAATGTGACAGGGCAATGCTGCCATGACAAGGGTGGGGACCAAAAAGGCCAAAGAGACTGACTTCTAAGTTCCCACTGAGACAGACCCCGGTTCAAATGTCTGCGCTAGCCCTCAGCATAGTGTGACTCACACTGGGAGTGGTTAGTAAGAACTTGCTGAATGAAGGAAGGGGGCCGTGGCTGGCTAAGTCGCTTCCTCTCTGAGCCTCAGTTTCTTCATCTAGAAGAGGCATGGTAGCCATTATTCTCAGGATTTCACCCGTGCCTCCTCTGCCCACACTCACACCAGTCTGTTGGTCCCTCCCCAGCCTGCCCTGTAGAGGCTGCTGGCCTGTCGGCTCTCTTCAGCAAGGACTGGAAAGGGCTGGTGTACCAAGGCCTTGTTCTTCCTTCTTGTACACTCCTCCTCTCCCCATTCTTCCTCCTTTTCTCTTGATCACACTCATTTTTTTTTTCCTGTATCCCAGGACAAGTTCCGGGAACCCTAAGCATGTGTCGAAAGCTCTCGATTTAATTCCACCACATACAAGTGTGCAGTGCACCCTCCTCGCTTTGCAGAGGGTTGAATCTGGGCTGAAACATGAAGCTCAGAGCCCCAGGTGGCCCCTACTTGCTTCAAATGCCATTGGTACTACAGAGCAGCCAGCCTCCTACCTCTACCCCATTTCCCCATGCAGAGCTAGCTGGGCCCCTCTGGGGATTGATCACATCAGCACTGTTCCAACTCTGGAAGGTTCACTATGAGCTAATTCCTCTGGAGTATGTTAACCAGAGGAAAGGCAAACCACGCCAAGCATGTGGAGATGGGGCAAGGACGATTTCACACTGGTAGTCATGAACTGTGTTCAGTCATGCACTCACTCTCTAACGTGGACTTTCTTGGGAGCAATGAAATGTACCTTTAGGATAGGTCACTAGCACAAGAAGGACAAGAAAACAGACCTTTTCTGTGTCTAAAGTGAGTAGCTGAAGTTGACGCTCTCTGTTATTATTATTTTTTTTTCTTTCATTAAAACTGATGGGCAGGGGGTTGGGGATTTAGCTCAGTGGTTGAGCGCTTGCCTAGCAAGCGCAAGGCCCTGGGCTCGGTCCTCAGCTCTGGAAAAAAAAAAAAGACAAAAATAAAACTGATGGGCAGAAAAGATGGGTTAGGTGCAGTTTATATTCGCCCCTGCCTTTAGTCCTCCTGTGGCATGTGGAATGCATGCAACTCTGTAAGAGGAATCTTCTGGGGTTTGATTTCCAATAGGCTAAAATCACATTACTTATGTTTCTAAGGGATGTAGTGAGAAAACAGAAAAACCCAAAACAAAACAAAAAACCCAAGGCTGAACAAATCAACCAGATAGACATGCTGGAGATAAAACTCCCTTGCAAAGGCGCTGAATCCATCTACCCCCTCCATGCCCTCTCACCTTCTGAAACAACCTGTGACCTGCACCCTGCTCTGGTTTTTAATGGGATGGGGGAGGCACAGTGAGGATCAGCCAGCGTCACTGAAGGTTTTTTTTTATATGCAAGGACAAATGACAGTCTTGAAGACAGGTTAAGGAAATCTTTCAGAATACAGAAAACTCAAAAGCCTTTGCACACTGACCATTGCCATGGCAACACACTATCTGATGGCAGCCTGCGTCACGAGGCTGAGGGGCACAGTATCAGTATAGCAGGTTAGCTTGGCCATTTTGAGCAGCATTTGGATTTCTTTCTAGCCTCAATTCTTCCAGGTTGAACTGAGGTGTTTTTTTTCCCCCAGTTCTGGACTCATGTGCTTTGTTAATTTGCATGGCTAGGGACACAAAGACTGTATAAAAGGGACAGTGAATGGAAAATCTTAACGTTTCTTGTATTGTCTAGTCACTGTCCTTGCCGCCCACTCTCCTGGCTCCTCATCCCCCGTTCTTATTGACTTCGCTTCTCTTTTTCTCCATGTCAGTTCTTTCCTACATTCAGCTTTCCCTCCCAACCCAACACGGTGACTCAGCAGCCCACCTAAGCTCTCACCAGATCCCTTTCCTCTCTCTATGCTCACTGTAATGTAGAGTGTCCTGGACCTTAGCATTGGCAGGAACCCTCTCCCAAGGCAGGAGCCCTTCTAGCCAAATGATCCTCTACTCCCCTCACTCCATCTCTAATGAGAGTTCTCATTCTCTTCTGGACCCCCTGTTCCACTTGGGACAGCTCTAATTGTTATAAACTCCTCCTCCTGAATGAAACTCAGTCCTTTTATGACACCCATCCATGAGTCCACCCCAGTGCCCTACAGCAGATGTACAGACAGATACCCTGTCCCGTTCTGTGACAGCCTTACAGAGAAATGAGGCAGGGCTCATGTCCCTCTGAGTTTTCGTTTCTCCAGAAAGCCCTAGCTCCTCTAAGCAGACCTCTTGGAGCTTGGACTCCAGTGCTTTCCCCAGACTGGCTGACCTCCTGCAGCATGTTCCTATTTGTCTAGAGCCCTTTTAAAGTGAGGTCGATACTGCATTAGCATCTCTGGAGGCCACCTTGACCCGGTGACTCATACTGAACTCTGTGTCAACTACTGTCTCTAAATTCTCTTTTAGACAAAATGCTCTTAAGCCACATCTCATTTTGCTTGTATGCAGTCCCTTCTGAGAACCCAGTTCCTGGAGCAGATGTTTGCTCCCTGCTCAAGTTCATTGTGTTACTATCCCAATATTGCCTTCATCTGCTAGTACACTTCAAAAACGTGACTTCCATGTCCTCTGGGGGGAACTTGTTCTGTTTTAACTAACCCTCAGCATCGCTTTTCATCTTGAGCTACCCTCACCCACTCACTCTTCACTCAGGTTTCTTTTCTAGCTTATTTCCCTCTGCATTACCTTGCTCAGATCTCTCTTGTTTGCCATTTCATTCCCCCAACAGCAAATGGCGCCTCTGTCTGGAGTGAGGTGCCTGGGAATGTGTGCAGGGAGGCAAGGGCGCGCACGCACGCACGCACGCACGCACGCACGCACGCACGCGTGCGCACACACACACACACACACACACACACACACACACACACACACACAAGCTAGGAGCAGTGTACTGTATAGGGAATGTTTTCTGGATCAGAGAGGAGCAGAGGGAAGCCAGGGTGAAGGGTGCAGATCTCCAGTCTCCATCCAGATTGGAGCACAGTGAGAAGAACCAGCAAGAGAAGGAATTTAGAGGTCTTAAAGACTAGAGAAGGGAGGAAGACTTGAAAGACAGTGAGGACTTGTAGAGTTGGTAGCCATTGGGAGATCAGAGGAAGGTGATTTGAAACATTAGAGGCAGAAGAAGGTTGGGTTACAGGACTTTACAAGGGGCAATGAGCTGTGAGTGTCAGTGTGAGAGTCTAAGGTTCATTAGCATAAGAACATTTTCTCAGGTCAGAGGAGCCCAGGAAACCTAGTCCTTACCACAGGCCCTGCTGTTGCCATCGAGTGCATCTGCTGGTGAACCTGCCTGCGGCAGAGACCCTCATAATACTGCGCATCCCCTCAGACGAACCCTAGCTTTGGGCAGGCCTCCTTTCAGACAGGATTACACCCCAGGGAGGAGCCCAAAGTGGGAGATCTGGCACCATCTTTGTCGTTTTATGAATAAACAAGAGAATTTCACTCTTTGGGACAGGCAATATGATAGCTTTGGCTTCTTAACTCTGCAAATAGGATCCAAACACATGCTCTCTCTCTCTCTCTCTCTCTCTCTCTCTCTCTCTCTCTCTCTCTCTCTCTCAGCTAACAGGAAAATGATTGCTCTAAATACTTAAAACAAACGATAGATGAGAAGCAAGTCTCCCCTCTAATGGAAAGCTTGAGGGAAGGACCCCCAAAAAGCTAGTAGTCTGTAGAGCCGTGACTACCATTCCTCTCTGTCCTGGGGACAGAATAATTTGGGGAGGGGGAGAGGGCAGTAGCTCTCCTCCTGGAACCCCCTTCAAGAACATCAGGCTCTCTGATTAACCCCTGGACTTCCATAGACTTGCAGTGCTCTTAGACCACGCAGCAAGAGACTGTCTGGGGGAGGAATTTCCCCCCCTATCCCAACCCCTCAAGTCTAAATCCACTTGAACTTCCCCAAACTTAGTTTTCCTGTTTTGCTTTGCTTTTTCAGTATTGGAGATGGAGTGGTAGGCAAATGCTCTACCACTGAGCCACATAACCCTAGCCCTTAAAGATGGTTTTACTGTTGGCCTTTTCAAAGAAAAAGGCTCTTAGAATATTTTAGAACTGATTTCCCCTTGGAAGTGCCTTAAAGCTGAACCTTTTGTTCTTCTGAAGGTGACATTAGCCAGCCAAGTGACAATCTCAACCAGAGTGGCTTGTGTAGAATTCCGGCTACAAGATGTCAGGCCAAAAAGAGGTTTCCTTTCCAAGTTAGTGGAATGATTAGCTGCCAGAAGACAAATGGGATTTGAGGAAGCCCCCAGCAGCAGGCCACCACACACTGGGTGGAATCAGGAGGGCAGGACTGGAGGGTGGCGCTCACCTTTGATGTAGTTGAGGATTTGCTGGATTCGCTGGGGCTCATTGCGGTCTGGCCGGCAGCTTGGCGTGATTTCCAGCACATAATCAGGACCATATGCTGTGAAAAACTGTAAGGAAAAGAGAAAGGCCAAAAAACAAACAAAACCACATAAAACTTCCAAACCAAACCACATACAAACAGGACAATCGAAAGAAAGTCACCATTCCCGACAAGGCCAGGGCAGCCTTCAAGGGCAGAGTGGCATGATGTGGCAGGAAGCTCTGCCCTGGTGGCATCACTGTGCTCACTCACTCAGACCTTCAGTGACAGCCACTGTGAAATTTGGGATCTTGATGTCAAGGGTGCCTCTGCTTGGGCTTCAGCTTTTTTTGCTCCGACCATAGCTCTTCATGCTCCCTGGACTCTAGCGTGCTAAGTCACTGAGCTCTCTCCAGGCTTTGTTCTTACTTAGAACTTAGTGCTTTCCTGCACTCCCTGTTCATGCTGCCTGTGGAAAAGCCTCCCCATCTTCCAGGCACAGCTCAAATGTCACCTCCTTCACAAAGCTGTCCTTCGTTCTCTGCCAAGCTCGACAGCATTCTGCTGGTGCCTCTCTTACGGCCCCCATTCAGAAAGACAGTGCCTGCTTGCATGTCATATGCAGGCCACAGTGGCAGCGGCATGGAGGGTCCTCTAGGTATTCAGAGGCACTGGATGGATACTTGTCAGGAGTGACTACCCTCTCTTCTCTCCACTGGACAGGAGCTCTCGGAAGGCAGGCAGGCAGTCCCGGGGTTTTTAGGAATCTCTCAGCCTCACAGCCCATTCGCTTTAGCTGCCTTGGGGTCCCTGCTCCAGGAATGGCACGTGAGTCTACTAAGACAACTAAGTTTTTCTTTCTCTATAGTGAAATTTACGTTTTTAAATTCAAGGAATCAAAATAAAGACTTGTGGATTCTATTTCTAGCCCACTAGATGACTCTTTGTGACCTTTGGTAAGTCACGGTATCTGATTTAGCTTCTGTTAGGGCCCACTTGGGGAAAAATACTCTGTGACAAAGGGAATCATTCAAATGGGATCAGTCTTTGAATGGGAAATATGCAAAGCTACGATTTCTGTTTTTTTTTAAACAGAAATAGTATTTGTGTGCACTCTCTGGAGAGAGAGCATATGGTCCTTAACACAATGTGTTTCAATAGTGACATTGTTAGGTTGTAAGTAAACCAGTGAATCCAAATTCCCTGAAAACAAAATAAAACAAAACCTCAGACAGTATAGCAGGCATGGAAACAGGGATCTTGCTATGCTGTGACTTTGATGCCACTCAAAGAACCCAAAGTTATTGCTACTGTCATTGACATTATCCTTGTTAGGAGCCTGGCTGTACATCTGGCACCGTGGGAGATGTTGTGGAACAATCCTGAGATTCTAACAGTGTCTCTGTGGAATCCATGAGATTAATTTCATGGGGAGATAGCTTTTGCATACCATGAAAGAATATCCTACACGTTTAATTGAAAGGAAAATTCCCAAGATTGTGCCAATGCTTCCCATGCCATGTATGTGAATTGGCCCAGAAAGGGACAGACACTCAGTCCTCACCACAGATATTACTCTGTGATTCCCTGTGATTCCTAACACCCCAAATTATGGAGATGGAAGCTGCCTTGAGTAGAGATTGTCTCTATCAAATCCCTATATGAAACAGGAAAACAGGGTTACCCGGGATAGCGGGGGGCGGGGGGGGGGGCATCCCGAAACTACACCTCCCATCATGGCTGAAGAAACTTGAGAAGCATTTATTTTTAGCCAAGGAGGGCCCCTCAGTTCAAGTTGTAGAAGAGAAGGCTTCAAACAGGTGTGGTGGCCTCTTCTCCTGAGGAGTGTCAAGTGATGTGCTCATCTCATGGGAATGGAAAGGCAGGCTTAGAGCCACAGAGTACAGGCAGCCGCATCAAAGCAGCTCTTGGGGAGACTTGGCATCACAGTACTATAAAAATATGAGGCGGGGTGCCTAGCCGAGATATAAAAGGAGTTCCTGCTGTCTCCGCGTGCAAAGCTGACACTGTGGATCCTTGGTGAGCAAGGCATGCTGGGAACTGTCTGGAGCCAAGGGTTTTGAACAGCGTATTCTCACTTGAACACCTACTATGCGACTGTCCACACTTTCCCACTTTAGTCCCCTTTGGCAAGGAGCACAAGGCTGCTACCCACTTGGTCAGCTGGGGCCAGAACTGCCTGCCTGCCATGTGACAAAACAGCTCTACTAGGATTAAGCCTCTTATCCTGGCTTCATTTGCACCTGGCTTTAACTGATTGAGCCGCACACTGGACAGACTCATCAAAAGACCTTCCTTGTTGAAGCAGACTGACCGCAGGTAACAGCCAAGCCTGGGTCCCCAAACTTCCTTCTACCTTTGTCAATCAAATGCTCTTTGTCTTGGGTCCTGCTAAGTTGCACTAGTCTTGGCCTGGGGGGACTCCGATGGTTTAAGAAAGTCCCTGTGTTGGAAGCCAGTTATACATGGCAGCTGGGGGCTTCCAGTCTTGGAGGCTTTGCTTGGGTGAGGCCAAGTGAAACAGGAGGCTGTATTTAAAGTCCCTGTTCCTGTGCTCTAAATTTGCACTTGTTATATCCTCTCTGCTAGACTACCAACTCGGTCATGTTCTCGTTGCATGGCCCATAGAGTCAAACTCGTCACAGTTTTCCCTTAAATGTATGTTGAATTAAGCTAATTTGCCAATGGTTTAGCTAGGTGTCTGGTTAATTGTGTGGAATAATTCAGAGTCACCTCAGCACAAACAGCTTTCCTGGGCTCTGGAGGCAACCTGTGACGGAGGTGGAAAGAGCACGGGTGTTGGGGTCAGGGACAGCTGGAATTTGGCACCTGGATTTAGCTGTGTGCCTGAGGTAAGCTTGTTAATCTCTGTTTCGTCATTTGCACCCTAGGGATGATAAATGCTGACCTGTTTGGTCTGTTAGGAGATAGTATCTATCAAAGGACCCAACCTGGAGCCTGGGATATGGAAGGTCGCTGATAAATGCAAATTCTTCTCTCCTGGGGGCAAAAGGCTCTTGCTTAACCCTGTCCCCTCTATACCCGGAGGAATGCGGGGCGAAGTGCTCAGCGCTGAGACGTAGAAAGAAGAGCCTGTTCCTTTTTCCAGACAGAGCTTCTGGAAAGATCGAAGCCTTCTGGCTTCGCCTCCTGCTTCAGCCATTGGGTTAGCCCAGGACCAGCCGAGAAACGGACTTTTCTCATAGTGTCTTGTGACTTGTTACTACTGATTGCTGAGGTGGAGAGGAAACATGATCGTGGTACGCAGAAAAGATGTTGAGGTGGAGGGATTTGGCTAGCACTAGAAATAGCTCGTGGCCCCACCCTGGAACTGCCCTCCAGCTCCAGGAGAAAAGGAAATGGGCACACTGCAGTCCCATCCAGGCAGGTGGGGCAGGAGATGAAAGGGGCAAGCCGACCTTCAAGGGAACATACTGACTTTGATCTCAGCAAAGGAAGAAGAGAGGTGCTAACCCCTCTCCACCCCTTCCCCTTTTCCTACAGCACTCCTTTTGCTTCCTGGGCTTGAGTTGAAATAGTTTCGAGGGGAACAAGGTAGTGTGGAGCCAGGTCAAACGGAAGGTATGCAGTGGGGCAAAGGGCTGGGGGTTGAAGGTAATGGCTGCTTTTAGGGTAGTCATTGCAGGCTCTGAGTCTTGACCCCACGAGTCAATGAATAAAGGAATGTAAATAGTTTGTCTCCAGTTCAGTTCAACCCAACTTAATTCTCCATTCTTGCTCAATCCTTTGCAGCTCTTGTGCACACAATGGAGACAGCACACAATTAGATACTTGGTTAAAAAGAGCAGTGGGAGCCTTTGAGGTTGTTCTTCCTCCAGGAAACCCAAGCCACAGATCAAAATCAGCTGATCCTTCTGTCTTTCTCTCAGCACTTCGGAACTCCCTACTATGTGCTGGACTCGGTTAGTCAATAAGGTTTGCTTAATAGGGGAGATAATTGCAGAACAGTGAGATGAGTGGTACAATAATAATATAACAATAACAATGCTAAAATAAAAGTAATGACAGTTAATGTTTATTACCGGCTTACTATTTGTCATGCACCTAAAGTATCTAAGCATTTTTTATGGACTGAACTTAATTTTCACACCCAACCTAGATGTTATGTATCACTGTTTCCATTTTAAGATGAGATCTGAAGCACAGATATTATGCACAAAGCTAAGATTTGGGACTAGATTAGCCTGGAGATCACTTCTGTAAAGTATACCCAGAGGAACTGAATGTAGGGGGTCTGGCCAAGCAGGACAGAAGTGGAGAGGAGGTGGTCCCAGCAGAGCCCAGGCAAAGACAGGGGGAGTCTGAAGCGTAAGAGCACCAAATTAGGTATAATTATCTGTGTGGCCAGCAGACCAGGAGGCAAGCAAGAACTTCGTGGTAGGCCCTGCCAAGCCATGCCTTTACCTCAGACTAGTGGCTCCATGAAGGCAGAGCATTGTTTTATCCTCTGCCATATTGCCAGTTCTCAAAACAATGCTTGCACTTCATAGGTGGTAAATAAATACTTGCGGGATAATGGGTAGAAGCTTGGAGGAGATGCAGGAAGTGAATGGGATATCTGTGTATACGGAGGGCTCACTGGCTCCCATGTGGAGACTGTTGGAATTTGAGGAATGAATGTGAGGAGGGCCACCAGTTAGGAAGCTGGTGCTACAGCCCCGGGGGTTGCTCATAGAATTGGGACAGGGACACTTCTGGGAGGAATGGAAAAGGAAAGATAGCATCAACAGGATAAAACAGTAACTTGGATGTGGGGAATAAGGAAAAGAGGGGAGTAAGAGACTTCTGGCCTCGAGGGATGAACAGCAAGAGGATCCAGTCTGTGGACCCAGAAGAAGGTTTGGGGGGTGTGAGGGGTGATTCTAGTGGGGAGGACATGCAGGGTCAGGATCCCAGTGACAGTGGTCTATGTGAGAGAGTAGGCCCAGTGTAAGGGGGGGGGCTAGACCTCTGACACCACATGTGTTATAGATTTGGGAGTCAACAGTGACAACAAAGCCGAGGAAGCAGATAAGATTGCCTTGGCCAGCAGGGTGGAGGGCCTGC